GAACAAACAACGCGGACGACCAGCTGGTCGTTACTTCACCGCATTTCCAGACCATTGACCCGATCCGTACTCGACAACAGATTTTCAACGCACGATTTAACTTTTCCGGTTAATTACATTTCACCGCGCGGTTGCTTGCTCTCTGTTTCACGGGCGCGTTACTTTCTGTTCCCCGGAGATCGGATGATATCGAAACGCCTAACCGGATAATCCGAGGACGTCATCGATTCACGAAACAACGTTTCGACAACGTTTCGACAATTTTTCGACCATTTTTTAAGCCCCCATAACAAACGATTGATAGTCCAAGCAAGCCATACATTTAAGCATACGTGTATCTTAATTATACATTATCTAGTTTCAAATTCTTCGATGCGAAACAGAAAAAAATTAAAGATTTAATAAATTTAAAATTCATCATCATCATGCAAAACTAACGTGTCTCGTGGCCTTCGATTCAAACAAATTGCAGTATCATCTTAATAATATTCATTGAATGGTTTGCATATGGATCTTGTAACGCGGAAATAAATTCTACGGGGTCGGGAGATCGAGCTATGTATATTTTTAACGTTCGTGAATTCCTTTATACCTGATTTACTTTTCTATATCTTAACTTCAGAGTTACAAATTTTTTGTAGTCGATAAGTATATGTGTCAGAAATTCACGGGTTTCGTTATCATATAAATATTTATTTTCTGAAGCTGAATCTCGAGAAGTTAAATAAGCACAGTTTTATTTGCGAAACAATTTTAGAAAATTAAACGTGAACGATATATTAACGAAGTTTAAAGCGCTTTGTTTGCGCAAACATCTAGAGAGTGGTTGTTTGACGCGACGAAACGTGTTTAAACATCGAATCGAGCTATCCGTAGGAACTTTCTTTTCCACTTCGTTTTAACGTATTTGACATTCGTATGTAACACATTGGAGCGAGCGCTATTTCTATTTTTCAACGTGATCACGGTCACGTAGCTCTGAAACGACGTTTCGTGGCGTATTGCGAACTGACTGTAACCTGTAGCTTCGTTTGGTTTCACTAAAGATTTTTCAGTAATTTTTTGGAATAAATTTGCATCACGATGAACGTATTATACGATATTTATATACCAAAGTGATCTGAAATTGTGTTCTTCGGGATGGAAAAATAATATTAACATATTGGCCTCACTATCGATATCAAGAAAAAAATTATGTATTCATATTCATCTTTTCATAAAGACTGCTCCCACGAATGCAACTCGCAACGGAAATTCATTCAAGGCCAGCGACAATAAAAATTATTTTATAATAGGTTTGCACGATGATGTAAGAATCCTGAGCTATAATTACCGCAACGCCAGTTTTATTTTCTCGTTTAGTTACTGGTTTTCGGCGTTCGCTTTTACCGAAAGGTCGAACGTCCGGTTTGTCTCGACTTATTGCACGAATTATGAAATGTTTAACGCGAAAGCTAAACATAGTTCGGATATCGGCTCGGCATTAAAACTCCTGGCTCTCTCTAAAGGGTATAGCCGAATAAGGGGGTCAAATGTGCCCCCAAACCGAATGGAACGAGCCACGGGTCATTCGATAGCAAAAAAAAAAAACCCCTGTGTGCAAAGTTTTAACTTGAAATCTCGACCGTGGGGGTAGTAATGGGGTGAAAACGAAAATCATGTTTTTGTACAATTTCTCTTGACCTATTGAGTAAAAAAATGTAAAAAAATTCAGAGACATTTCGGGTACCGGGGCACATACTTTGGGAGATTTTCAAATTTTTTGACTGAAGAACCAGGTAGTGAAAAATAAAAAACAGCAAAAAATGCCGAAAAATGCCGATTACGTATTGAAGGAGGCCCGGAACTACTTTTATACTTTTACAGTAAACAGGTATTACTATTACTATTATTCTCAATTTTTTTCAGATTTTTCATTTTGGTGCGCCGCAGTGAAAAAAAATAAAAACCGAGTTTTTCCTCATTTTCTGCGTATTAGAGTAACTTACACGTTGAATTTTTATGCATCCTTCAATATATAAGTGTTTTGTAGACTGTTTAATGTTTCTACACTAAGCAGAATTACATAACAATTGAAACAAATATAATAAAGCCAACCGTTGAGCGCAAGATATCCTAGAAAATCAACAATATTTTCAACGGCGTCGATGGCGCAGCGTTAGAGTGTCCGACTGCTGAACCGCTGGAAGTTTTTTTACCGTAGGTTCGAGTCTCTCTTCTGGACTTAGTATTTTTTTTTCTTCATTATTTTTTTTTTCAAATTCTAACTATATAACAATGCTTTATATTTATTTATAAATGTTCTGAAAGCATTTTACAAATATTTTAACCTGAAATATGTATAAAAATAATTTTGGAGTGTTTTTTGCGTTTTTATTTTTTTTGTCAACCAGGATTATTGTTTAACATCTCTTACACTGAAATTAATGTGAAATGTTAGTTTTCAAATCTCTTACCTTTGACTATTGTGAATGGATCGGAGCAGAAGATTGTATATTGGCTTACTATTACTTCTTCGCGCCCTTCGATCAAGCAGATCTTTCCTTCTTTTTCTCTTTCTGTGATGATGAAAAAGTATCATTGGCAGAGAGTGGGTTAATAGATGTGGCGTGGAATGGCCCTTACATGTCTACGTTAGATACTAAAGCCGCAGCAAACATTCATATTTATCACAGAAAGAGAAAAAGAAGGAAAGATCTGCTTGATCGAAGGGCGAGAAGAAGTAATAGTAAGCCAATATACAATCTTCTGCTCCGATCCATTCACAATAGTCAAAGGTAAGAGATTTGAAAACTAATATTTCACATTAATTTCAGTGTAAGAGATGTTAAACAATAATCCTGGTTGACAAAAAAAATAAAAACGCAAAAAACACTCCAAAAATATATTTATACATATTTCAGGTTAAAATATTTGTAAAATGCTTTCAGAACATTTATAAATAAATATAAAGCATTGTTATATAGTTAGAATTTGAAAAAAAAAATAATGAAGAAAAAAAAATACTAAGTCCAGAAGAGAGACTCGAACCTACGGTAAAAAAACTTCCAGCGGTTCAGCAGTCGGACACTCTAACGCTGCGCCATCGACGCCGTTGAAAATATTGTTGATTTTCTAGGATATATTGCGCTCAACGGTTGGCTTTATTATATTTGTTTCAATTGTTATGTAATTCTGCTTAGTGTAGAAACATTAAACAGTCTACAAAACACTTATATATTGAAGGATGCATAAAAATTCAACGTGTAAGTTACTCTAATACGCAGAAAATGAGGAAAAACTCGGTTTTTATTTTTTTTCACTGCGGCGCACCAAAATGAAAAATCTGAAAAAAATTGAGAATAATAGTAATAGTAATACCTGTTTACTGTAAAAGTATAAAAGTAGTTCCGGGCCTCCTTCAATACGTAATCGGCATTTTTCGGCATTTTTTGCTGTTTTTTATTTTTCACTACCTGGTTCTTCAATCAAAAAATCTGAAAATCTCCCAAAGTATGTGTCCCGGTACCCGAAATGTCTCTGATTTTTTTTACATTTTTTTACTCAATAGATCAAGAGAAATTGTACAAAAACATGATTTTCGTTTTCACCCCATTACTATCCCCACGGTCGAGATTTCAAGTTAAAACTTTGCACACAGGGGTTTTTTTTTTGCTATCGAATGACCCGTGGCTCGTTCCATTCGGTTTGGGGGCACATTTGACCCCCTTATTCGGCTATACCCTTTAGTCGAACATCGAGGTCCTTCGAAAACAAATGCATTCATCAAGTTATCGATATTATTTCGCTTAACTGAGTATACAGGGTGTTCGGCTACTCCTGGGGAACAATTTAATGAGGAATTCTAGAGGCCACAATAAGACGAAAATCAAGAATACCAATTTGTTGATGGAGGCTTCGTTAAAAAGTTTTTAACATTTAAATTCAAAAATTTCAAATCATTCTGGAAAAATTATTTTCGGTTGCGGGAGACAATTACAATTATTTTTGGTGAATAGACATACCCCCGAAATCCTGCGCATTTTCGAGAAAAAAATTCAGTGCGGGCGGAACTTTAAACGTTAATAACTTTTTAACAAAGCCTCCATCAACAAATTGGTATTCTTGATTTTCGTCTTATTTTGGCCTCTAGAATCCCCCATTAAAATTTTTTCCCAGGGGTCGCCGAACATCCTGTATAGTATAGCAGCGATTGCATAACAATTTTTGGCTCATTATACATATATACCTTTTTAAAATCTGGTAGTCCGTGAAGAATTAAAAATTAAATTTTTTCGTCATATCTCTAATAACTGAAGAAACACTTAAAATGATTTCCGTGGAACACCGAGTGTTTTGGAGTACTTAACACGCGTCAGACCGTTCCCCAGCGAATAATGAGACGCCGTGCTTAGAATGACTTGGCCATGTTCTCCGTTCCACTTCTTGCCCCGAGAAGTCGTTCAAAATTGTCCGTAAGAAAAAAGATGTACGTGGAAAAGTTCTACCCCGATTGTTTCGTATTTCCTGGTACAACGTTCTCTACAAACGCTAAATTTATTTCCGTATCGCGTCTAAGTACATAAATACTGCAACATGGGTCTAAAATGACCCGGCGACATATTATCTTTTCACATGATTACTATTTCAAAGAACGCTTTCTTGGATCGCAAGAAATAAAATTTCCGCAATTTTTTCACGAGGCCAAAACTTCGATTTTAAGCAATATTGAATTTGACTTAATATTTATTTTTGTAAGCTCGCTGAAATTCATGAAATATTCAAATTTATTTCCTTCAACGTTTCAACTTGAAAATTATTTTAGTTCCATAGTGAAACATCCTGTCAAAGTGTTAATCCTTTACATTCCTATGTCGAGTGTGACTAACATCAGTTTTTATCTCAGGAGCTCCTTTTTCAAGTCCAAACCAAAGAGATACCATACACTTGAAAATTACAAAATACAACAATAGAATAAATAAAACAGATATTTAATTGAATTTGTTTAAATTGCCCTACATTATAATTAACGTATATTTCAAATAAATCACTCGAAAGCGTTGAGAGCTACTGGTAACAAAATTGAAATATAATTCGGAGTGCAAAGGGGTAAGATCACGTGATCCAAAACATGATGTAATCACAAAGACCTCGACCTGTTTCTAGACCAAAATACTGAAACAAAGACGAGCACAACTGAAAATCTAGTTACCCCAGCGTTTAGAGACCCGAGAAAATCGACAAAGCACAACAGACGAAGTGACCAGAGTGTCGAGGAACTTAGGCAGATGATCTCGAGAGAAACGATCAGTGTAACACACGGCATGCACAAGCGGTAATGACTGCGTTAGTGTAAGCACCGGTGGTTACCACATTGCAAGGAGGGGAGGGGGATAGGTGTGCGTAGGTAACCACAGGAAGAGAATACTTTCACTGCCAAAGTATGGTTGGGAGCCTACCAGAAGGACGAAGAAACCCAGTCACTGGCCAAGCCAACAAGGACGGTGAGAGTGAAATGAGTAGGGATTGTAGTATCGGTACAGTACCGTATCGTTCTTCCGAGTGTCATTACCGATTCCCTGGCGGTCACTCGGCGATCGTCTCGGTTACCAGTGTGCCCGAGAACCGTCAAAAAGTTTTTTCGTACACGCGTATCCTTGTCAGAGAGTATCGCGCGATTCATTGTCACGAATCGAACGAGTTCTGCGCGACAGACTCTGGAGAAACGATCGATCGGCGAAGACCAGCGGATTTGATGGGAGACGTTCAGCGAAGGGAAGAAAATCGAAGGTAAGAGCGAGTAAAAATCGAGAGGAACCGTCGAACAGGAGATTCTCCCTTAGAGAAAGTTTGACGCGCCAATTAATCTGACGATTAACCGATTGGACGAAAGGGCAAGTGCTTTCGCGAACACGAAATCCCGACGTCAGTCGCTAGTGAAACGGTTCGCTAATCGAACGAGGGGAAAACGCCATTAGTGACCAGACGAAGGCTTATTTTTATGCTGTCAGGAACCCTCGCGATCGAAACTGGCCTTTTAACCTTGCGTCGTCTGACTAGCGTACATTTATTTATGAACGGGGTAATAACCACTCGCTTTACAATATTTACATTTATAAATAAACAGTGATCGACACTCGCACGGCTATCGTTAAAATAGTTAATGGCGATCTCTTGGGGGTTTTTAGACCCGTGTCTTACGTTTCCCAATATTTACATATTTAGCCTTCTTACTTATAATAATGTAGAATATTTGTTTTACCCACTTGTTAGAAGACATGATGATCCCAATTTTGTCCTAAATATTTTTGAGTTTTATTAAAAGAATACATATTTTATTATACCCTTAATAAATACCAGACACATTAACGTTTTAGAAAATAGAGGAAGAAAGTTAAAGAAAAGTAAGTGTTAGCTGGATCCAAAAATATTGAAAAATAGACACTGAAACAAAATTTCAAAACATCCAAACTACTTCATTTTATTGGTAGACAAATGAAAATAATATTTTTTAACATTTTTTTTTTGTTAAATTTTAACAAATTACTTTAAGTTATCAAGGATAAAAAAGGACGAAGACTTCTTAATATCACAAGTTGAAATCCTATTACGAAATTATGTACCAGGTACCAGGTTTAGAAAAGTCTTTTGCACTAGATATATAAAAGAGAAACTATTCAAATCTTTTAACATTCGATAAAATTCAGGTTAAATCCACAACTAGACAAATAGCTAAACAAATAAAAAGAAACTGTGCCAAAAGTTCTCACCAAACCTTTGCTTTCATCCGGTTGCTGTTCTAGCGATTCCTGTGTCCTAGTGATAAATTCAAAATACCTATTTTAATATCTGCCCGAGAGCATACATCGATTCGAAGCAGTTGATACTTATCAGCGCTAATGATTGCTACTGGCATGATTCTATCAGTCAGTGCACGCGATTTGAATATGGAGGGAACGTCGTTGTAGAAATAATCCGACGAATAATTTATTGCTTAGAATCGTCTGGTGATGGTTACGGCAGTCGACATTATTAAGGTCGTGCATTCTTCGCAAAGTGGCGGGATAATTAGTGGGTACGACAGAGCGCGTCATTGCGCGCGTGAACATTCAGAGAACGTAATTGATTGTGTAAGAACGACTCGCGCGTACGACAATGGTGGATAGGAGAACCGAGATCGCGCTCGAGCGTGGATTAAATATCAAATATACGCGGCAGGACTCGAAATGCCAGGCTACGGAAGCTCAAACTTCTAAACTATTGACACGATCTTGACGTTTCGACCATCCTCGAATCGGATATTTTTAACTGGTATTTAGAATTAATGGATACAATACGGGGAAAACGAACACGGTGGCTGTCAGTATTCGCACGCCTGCAGAAGTTGGTGCCTCTTGTAATTTATGACCAGCCGATAAGTATTACATCTGCCTTTTCACTCGAAGTATTTGGAACCGGTTTCACGATATTACGCAACTCTCGAATTCGTGTAAAAAGCACGCCTAGGACCACTTTCTACGTCGCTTTTATCGCTTTTAATCGCTGAAAACGATGATCGAGATCTAAGAAAAAAAATAAATAAATAGACGATTATAAATCACTCAAATTTACTTTCGTTTGATCTACCTCGTTCGGAAGTTACGAGAAGATCTGTACTCGCAAGCAATTAATTGTATAATAGGGTGCTGGGTCCATGCATATACTTATACGCTAAATAAAAAGATTTAGAAAAAAAAACAAAAAATAAAAAATAAAAACAGTTTATTTTGACAAGCTTTTGCGCGTGCCCTCGAATACATAAACCTGCAAAAGATACAAACATTAAATTAAATACATACTTTGTCGAACATCGCCACTTTGACATTACGTGCACATATTATTAAAGCCTTGCAAACAAAAAAAAAATTTAATTTTCACTTAGAAACAGAAACGTGATAATAACAATTTTCTCCAAAATGAAGAATATCTTCGAACCTAAGTTCCTTTTCGCTTATTCTCTCTCGAGCAACTTTGTCACTGGCAAGGAGAGAGTATTACGCTTATATTTAGAAACGAGACGTGCCTCTACGAATGAAAATACGTGCATGTCATGCGACTAATTCAAAGAAAACTAATTTACGCTCGAGGGAAAACTCACGTGGCCTAGGAAGCGTCGCATTATAGTCGGCGAAACTCATACCTGAAACAAGAAAAACAGATATTACAAATAAACTGACGTCCGAGAACATTACGCGGATCATCGTTTGTATCGCGGAATGCGTTAACCTTCGCGAAGAGAGAATCACGGCAACAAAAAAAAGTTTATTATTACTGTGTTCGTACAGAACATAACGCCCAAGTCCGTGTAATAGGCTTGAAAAATAGTGGAACCTCCTTCCGCGGTCGATCCAACGAGCAATTCTAGAAAAGAAAAGTTCCGCCAGCTTCCGCGTTGCTTTCTTACATGATACAGAAATGCCGCGACGACAGAAACGCTACAATCCTACCTCCCCTATAATCACTTTTCCTATTTGTTTAGCACTCGACCGGAAATGTTGTTATTGATGAGACTCTGACCACGGGCTATTAAATTAACGTTTCATCTTTCTATTATAAGCATTATCACAGGAGACGATATATGTACTATTACTAACAAGTTTGTAAATATAAAGTTTTAATAAAATTATAATTATATTTAATATTAGAAGAAAACTAAGTGACCACTTACACGAACCATGTAAAATATGTCTGCTATGTTTCTGAACAGTTTTGGGCAAATTTTATTTCAAACAAAAATAAGAAATTACTGTTCCAAGCACGACAAAAATTTTCTTCTACGCTTTTAATTATAACATCAATAAATAAGGCATTTTTTAACCCGCGTATTGGTGACAGGATTTCTCACTGAAGAGATAAAATTTTCATTGGTATTTATCTTCATAGTAGATCTGTTCCGAACACCTGAAAGATCAAGATTAAACGTTCGATGGCTTTCTTCGATCAACGAAGAATCGTTAATTAATGGTTTTAATTATAGCATGATATATGTCATAATATAACTGTTCGATCGAAATAAACTGTTGTACACGTTGGTTTTATTCTTCGTCTATTATTCGAAAAAAATTTTGCCTATCTCTTCTATACGATCGAACGGTCCGTGGGTTTCTCTTTCGTTTTTTTCGTCCTCGAGATAACCATCGGTTCGACACACGCTTCGACAGCGTCTTTCATGATCTAAAACGATCCTCTGAAAACTTTCTCGGACGACGAGAATTCGGTTGTTTTTTGTTCGCACGAAAATGCATGTTCTTTCACGAGCGTGCAGTTGATGGCCATAAACGACGGGGAAGTGTAATTTCAAACAGTAGCTTTTCTCGTGTCCAATAAAACTATGATCTATATTTACACTTCCGGTCGAAAATGTATAGTTATGTTAGACGTTCGTTCGATAAACGAGAAAGAATTGATTACTGTTTTTAAGGAATTACGATCTATCAATAAATAAAAATAAATATTTATTGTACCGATCACGAAGCTGTTTACTGGCTGTAGTAAGTTACGTAAGGTTTAGTATAAATTGCTCTGATGATTTTTATGATCTTTTAACTGACACATTCGGATGATCGAACGGTTTTTGTCAACAACATAAAAACTGTGTCCTGAAGGAAAACTGTTTAACATAAATAGAGGCCATTCCGATTAAATGAAATTGTTATTCGATAAAAAGTCCAGAAGCTCGAAGTTATTTATGCTGCATAAATCAGTCGCTTACCAAAAATATTATTCTATTAAATCAAATTTATTCTCCTGAATTCTTTTATTACTTGAGCTGCGTATAAAGGATCATTAGGACTCACGATTAGAAGTTAATTTCAAATATTAAAAAAAAAAAAAATATTTGCACATCAGTAATCTTGAATGTCTAGTTGGATAAAATTCCTTCGTTAAATTGTTTTAACGACAGATGGCAAAAATCACCACGTTTTAATTCCGGAAACCATCTTTCGCAAGGAAACGACACGGTGGAATTTTCGATATTAATTTTCAACAAATTATCAACTCGAAGCGGTCACTTTTACCAGAAATTTTGACAGGTTATCTATCGTTTTAAACGAAAATTGATACAGACATCTATCGAGAATCCATGGAAACTTTTGCATGTACCCGATAGAATTCTACAGCCTTCTTTACGCGGTAGTCAGTGCACAGAACACGCAAGCCGCTGTACGCACGGTGTTATTCTATCGACAATGGCTTGATCGATAGCGACATGTCTGCTTCGTGATCGTCTATTAGTACCGTTTTCACGGTCAGGAAGGCTCGCAGTATCCGCAGACAGGTTCATAACGAAGCCCCGGGAACAAGACGGAGAGAGGAGAGGCCACGTAACGTAACCACTAGAGTCTCGTAAAAGGAAACAAGCATGGCAGAGGTTTACATCGGTGAAACACTTTCTCCTTTCCCCGTTATGAGATCACCGTCGCCAGTTTTCCACCAGAGGCAACATAACTTCGTCAATTTGTTGCTTGACTCGCGCGGGAATTAACGAACGCTACGAACCGCGGCACCCCTTTTAATTCAAACCTGGTCGATCAGGCGCTCTTACAAGACTGCAATTAGAATGTTTGATATTTCCTGCAACTCTTCCTCTTCCTTCCGCGTCATCCGATTTACATCCTAACGAACACCGTCAACAGGCCTCTTTGGGAAAACGTTTAAGCGTCTAGGCGCGTACGTGAACCGTACACGTTAAACGGCGCCGGTGGCGATTGTATGCTAGTTCGATGAAAGTGCATTCTTTGCAGGAACAATCGTTCAATTGTGAAACGGGAGAAATTTATTTCTTGCCTGTCGCTTCTTCGCTTATTGTTCCCTTACGCGAGCAACGGAATCGAATGGACTTACAAATCGTGTCTGCCCGTGAAATTTAAATTTGCTGCGCTCGCCACTAGAGGGCTACGATCGACTTGTCTCTCTCTCGCAAGTGCTCGACAAGAGATTTCTAAAACTTTTTCCTACAACACCAAAATATCAAAACGCTACCAACTCGAGCAATAGACTCTGACAAGCGCTAGCCATTCGATTTAAAAGGGTAAAGTCACAGGAAAAAAAGAAAACATTAAACCTAAGACAGGGCCTGCTAAAGTTGTTGGTTAAAATCTATTAATTTCCTGAGCGTCGAGTAGAAACTGTTGATTTTCGACAAACTATTCATCAGGAATTATACCTAAACCATTGCTTATCCCATTCCAGAACGACAACAGTCTCCATGAACGGGCTGGCGGAAGCATCGCGAGCACAATGAAGAGCATAAACTTCCACGCGGTACAAAGGATCGAGAAAATTGGTACACGACCGCCCGACATCTTCTAGCGCCGAAACCCACAACTTGCGTGATGACATTTACGCTGATCGGAACACCGAGAAGTCTACAAGCAGATTCGAGGGAGCCGAAGAAATTGCGATCGGATAAGAATAATGGTGTTCAGCGCGATAGTGGTCACGTCTGCCCTGAAAGGCGCCCTTGGACTGGTAGGTACGAGCCTGTGGCTGATCCCTCTGTTAATAGCAGGCCTGTCGTACTATCGTTACGACCAACTGGACCCGGAGAGTCGACCCATAGACAGGTACCCTTTGTTCCCCGAGTACGACTTCATCGTGATCGGTGGAGGATCGGCGGGTGCGGTGGTCGCGAACAGACTGTCGGAGATACCAACCTGGAACGTTCTGTTGCTCGAGGCTGGTCCGGACGAGAACGAGGTCACCGACGTGCCTTCGCTGGCGGCTTATTTACAACTGACGAAGCTAGACTGGAAGTACAAGACCGAGCCTACGGGGAACGCGTGCCTGGCGATGAAGGGCGGTCGGTGCAATTGGCCGCGCGGCAAGGTCCTGGGAGGCTCGAGCGTCCTCAACTACATGCTCTACGTACGCGGGAACAGACACGATTATGATTACTGGGAGTCGCTGGGTAATCCGGGCTGGGGGTACGATCAGGCGCTCTACTACTTCAAGAAATCCGAGGACAACCGTAACCCTTATTTGCAAAAGAGTCCTTACCACTCCACGGGCGGTTACCTGACCGTACAGGAGTCGCCGTGGAGGACTCCGTTGGTGGTGGCTTTTGTCCAAGCGGGAACCGAGCTGGGGTACGAGAACAGGGACATAAACGGGGAACGACAGACGGGTTTCATGATATCTCAGGGAACGATTCGCAGGGGCAGCAGATGCTCCACGGCGAAGGCGTTCCTGCGCCCGGTTAGGCTACGTCGGAACATCCATACAGCGATGAACTCGCACGTTACCAAGATCCTAATCGACTCGGTGACTATGCGAACGACCGGCGTGGAATTCGTCAGAGACGGTCGTCGACAGATCGTCCGAGCACGGAAGGAAGTGATTCTTTCGGCTGGCGCGATCAACAGCCCGCAAATCCTGATGCTCTCGGGGATTGGGCCCGGAGAGCACCTACGCCACCTGGGGATCCCGGTGATCAAGGATCTACGAGTCGGTGACAATCTCCAAGACCACGTCGGTATGGGTGGCCTGACGTTTCTCATCGACAAACCGGTGGCTATCGTTCAGGATCGCTACCAAGCCGCCCCGGTGACGATGCACTATGTGGTCAACGGAAGAGGACCGATGACCACTTTAGGTGGCGTCGAGGGCTACGCCTTCGTTAACACAAAATTCGCTAACCAATCTCTGGATTACCCAGACATTCAGTTCCACATGGCGCCAGCGTCCATAAACTCGGACGCTGGCGTTCAAGTGAGGAAGGTGCTAGGCATCACGGACGAGGTTTACGACACAGTCTACAGACCGATAGCCAACAAAGACGCTTGGACCATAATACCTCTTCTCCTGAGACCGAGATCGCGTGGTACGGTTAGGCTACGGAGCTCGAATCCCTTCCAAAGTCCCTTGATCGACGCCAACTACTTTTCCGATCCTCTAGACATCGCTACCCTAGTCGAAGGCGCCAAAATGGCGGTACGTGTCAGCGAGGCGAGGGTTTTCAAGCAATTCGGCTCGAGGATTCATCGCGTCAAGCTGCCCGGATGCAAGCATTTGAAATTTGCCTCGGACGCTTATTGGGAGTGCCACATTCGTCATATCTCGATGACGATTTATCATCCCGTTGGAACGACCAAAATGGGTCCCCCGAGCGATCCCGGTGCAGTCGTCGATTCCAGATTGAAAGTTTACGGGGTGGAAGGTCTGAGAGTGATCGATGCGTCCATCATGCCCACAATTTCCAGCGGGAACACTAACGCACCGGTCATTATGATCGGCGAGAAAGGCGCGGATCTTGTTAAAAATGACTGGCTGGCCACAGAGACAGCGAACAGTTGATAAATTAGACATTGTCGTGACAAAAGGCGATAACAATGAATGCGTAGCGTCGATAGGAATTGTTTTAGTTGATGTTTGTTAATTTAGTTATACGGTAGAACGTTAATCGCGCGAATTAACTTAATTTTTAACGACACGTTCTTGGATTTATTCGAGAGTTTGCTAATCGACGTTCTACCGTGCACATTTTGTTGACTTCGGAGTAAGATGCAAGTGTAACGTGAGTCAAATGAATGTTTAGGAAAGCGTTGAGCGTCCTACATTGTGATACGTTGAATGTATATACATAATGTATATAAAAATTAAGTTTTGTTAACCTAATTGTAACGCTATTGTTAAGCAACGTCAGTCGTTTGAGTATATTGGATAAAATTTCTTGAAAGGTCAAGTTGAAAAATAGCTTCGTTTAATTATCAGAATGTTTTCCATTTAAACTGTTGAAAATTAAAAATCAATACTTATTGATTAGTTTATGATAATTTAACGAGATTATTCTGGACAAAAATCTAAACGAGAAATGTTGATAAAATGTCGTGCAAAGTATGCTGCTTACAAGTGGTATCGAGGAAAAGCGTATGTTAAATAAGGAAATTACGAACGAATACTCGTATTATTATTTTACATTTTAAAAAACATAGAAGCTATTTGTAACAAGGGGGCATTTATCTTGTATGGAATATGTCTCGTCTACGTGCCATACTTCGTTACGTAACTTCCACATTGCAAAAGTGTAATTAAATAAAATATCATGTACGAACTATCGCATGCGTGTTTGTTTTATAATTGTTATAAACACGTTTAATCTGTTACCTCACTGTACGCTCGTAAAATAAATGATTTATGAAAGACCTATTTATTAATTTTTGTCCAATCGAACCTGTCGCAAAAAAACTTTCGCTTAAAACACCAACCGTACGAGTAAGCTTCGCCATATTAATACAATACAAAGCATGAACGATGCGCGCATATCGGTTTCCAATTTTAGCTCGCGGCGTTTATACAACGACAGATGACGAAAGGCCTTCGAAAAATTAATTTATACGAATAAATAACCGAAGATGAATCATAGCTGTATCAGAATGCACCGTGAAAGTGTTTATGATCGAAGATTCTGGGAATCTTCTGGGTCCATGAATTTGAAATAAAACGACGCGAGTAAATATTGTTCCGTTGCTTCATTTAACAACTGATCTTAAACATCACGCGGCACCGTGTGGACTGTCGTTTCTTCATTATTCTGTCGATGAAACAAGTACCGTTTACCAAATCACACGAGACGGAGGAGGAGTCGACACTAGGCTAGAATTAATCCACCGTTAGTCGTGCGGGTGACACGTGTCACCCACCTCTATGTTTTTCTTTATAGTTCTAAAGCGGTTCGCGTTAACGGACTATCCTTTAGTACAATCCTAGCAGTGTACAAGAAAACATTTTCTATCGTAAATCCTGTGTTGGAAAAAATTTTATTCAAATCTGTTAATTTCCCTGGATAATAATTGTTTGTGCTGTCGGAGAGCCCACTGCCACTTAAGCTACTTAAAACAGGTACTGAGGAGGATCTTATGCGTATGGAAGTATTTGAGACAAAACCGTCAGAAAAATCCAGATCGAATTTTTAGAAAATCTGTGAGTCGATTTCAGGAATAAAGTTTTGAAGAGGTCGACGTAAGAGTGCCATTTTGTCCCTAATGTTAATTTGACTCGATCTTAAAAATTTGGCTTGCAACGAGGAATTAAAAATACTTGCAATTTATAATCTTGAAACAAAGTTAGGCTGTAATCGACTAACAAATCGTTTTTACCAAAAATACGTAACAAAAGCTTTAATTCGATCATCTTCGGATATACGCAAGTGACTCTACGACCACGCAGCAAGATAATAATGAAGGGAGAATTATTGATAACGGACGAGTTGTTTAAATCAATAATGACCTTTGCAATTCTGTTCCGTGCAAGTCAGCGTCTATTACTCCTTGTGCCTCACTTATGACACGTTCGCCTAAACGTTCCATTAATAAGCATAAATAATAAATATGCATGCGATGTTCACAAAAAAAGGGCATTACCGCGTCACGTTTGCGGATATATATACCGAGCGTGAGCAACGAGACACTATTCTTATTTTCCGGGTTAAAATCGCTCGAAATGAATCTGAGAGGTGGTCTCGTCCTCGCCATCTCGCGGCTCGTTTTCTTTCTGGCGGTAGTGATTTTTCACGATCAGTCGCGCGTAAACGCCCAACGAAGACAATACGTGAACCTCTATGGCACCGAGGACTTCAACTCCACCGCGATGGAGAACGTGCTTGGCACAGGGATGGGACTGATAAATTTCTTGTACAACAACCAAATGTTGCAACAGAACGCCCAACCGGATGTGACGCCAGCGTCCAATTCCCAGTACGATTTCATCGTGGTGGGCGCTGGGACTGCTGGCGCGACGATTGCGGCCAGACTCAGCGAGATCGGGGATGCAAAAGTGCTGTTGATCGAGGCTGGTCCCGAGGAAACTCTGATCATGGACATTCCTATACTCGCGTCCTTCATGCAACCGGTGGACGAGATAAACTGGAAGTACGAAACGGAACCGTCCGACACGTATTGCACGGGGATGAAAGAGCACAGATGCAAATGGCCCAGAGGCAAAGTGATGGGTGGTAGCAGCGTTTTGAACTACATGATAGCCACCAGAGGCAACCCGGTGGACTACGATCGATGGGCCCAGATGGGCAACCCCGGATGGGCTTTCAAGGACGTTCTGAAGTACTTCAAGAAGATGGAGAACATGCAGATACCAGAGTTTAGGAACGATCGAGAGTACCATAGCACCGAGGGACCAGTGTCCATAGACAACGCGCCTTTCCACACACCATTGTTAACGGCGTTCTTGGAAGGCGGTCAGGAATTGGGGTATCCGTTATTGGACTACAACGGACGGAAACAGATCGGTTTCGCGCAGATACAATCGACCATGTACCGGGGATACCGAATGAGCAGCAACAGAGCGTATCTGGTAGGGAAGAGGCGGCCGAACCTTCACGTGACAAAGATGAGCATGGTGCACAAAATTTTGATAGACAGGGAGTCGAAACGAGCGGTGGGTGTTCAGTTCGTGAAAAACAATCGTCGTATCTCGGTGTACGCGACGAAAGAGGTGATAATGTGCGCTGGGGCTATCGGGACTCCTCAATTGTTGATGCTTTCCGGTATAGGGCCCGCTGAACACTTGAAGGAAATGGGAATCGAGGTGGTGCAAGACTTGAGAGTAGGTGACAATCTTATGGACCATATTGTGTACGGTGGTTTGACGTTCACGATCAACCAACCGGTCAGCTTGTCGATGCTGACTTTGACGGACATTTCGAAGCCTTATTTTAGGGACTTCTTGCAATCGAGCAGCGGCCCGGCCACGATCAGTGGCGGTTGCGAGGGCATCGCGTTCGTGGACGTGGACGATCCAACGAACCGCGACGGGCTTCCAAACATCGAACTGCTGAGTCTGGTCAGTTCGATTTACACGTACAAAGTCGCCATGGACAATTTCGGTTTCAACGACGAGATCGTGCAGAAGTTCTCGTCGTTCCAACACACCCCATCGTGGGGAGTGTTCCCGTTGTTGCTGAGACCGAACAGCCGCGGCTGGATAAGGCTCAAGTCCAAGAACGCGGACGTCAAGCCGATGATCGTGGCTAATTATTTGGACGACCCGGAAGACAGACGGGTTTTGGTGAAAGGGATCAGACTAGCCTTGCAGGTCGGTCGAACGAAAGCCATGCAGCAATTCGGCGTGACTTTTTACAACAAAACTACGTCCGAGTGCGAGAAGTACCCCTTTGATTCGGACGATTATTGGGTGTGCAACGCCAGGTCACAGACGCTTACTATTTATCACTATAGCGGTACTTGCAAAATGGGCCCACCGGAAGATCCCACTGCTGTCGTCGATCCGACTCTAAAGGTACGTAACCGAGCTATTAGGTTTCTTTCGATCGAAATACGAACTCTTAGTCCAATTTCGTTTCAGTGTAAGAGTTGATGAAGATGGTAACAGAAGAAAACGAGACTTTTGCATGAAATTACATCAAAAGTGTTAATATATTGAACAGTGCCTTTTGTTCGTAGTATTCTCAAGTATTATTATTAACAACGAAACGCTTAATTGTTGCAGGTGTACGGAGTCAAGGGATTGAGAGTGGCCGATGCTTCCATAATGCCGGAAATTCCATTGGGGCACACGAATATTCCTGCATACATGGTCGCTGAAAAAGCGGCGGACATGATTAAAGAAGATTGGGGATATCTGAATAGTTAATTATCAGACTTGAACTAGAAAATATAAAAGTGAAATGCTAAAAAATACTCATTTATAATAAATATGATATACAACGATAATTGAGAAATCATTAACACCGTGTGATACTGCATCTTGAAAAATGCAATAATCAAGAGCGATACGAGCAAAATATATATCATTTTATGAAATATTTAAAGAGAATAAAATCTAGTTAAACATGTGACAAAACAAAACGGCTAAAAAGTGCTTAAAAGAATTTACATTACTCATATGAATTTCAAAGATGGTAAATGTCAACATTTGAACTTAATATTTTTTTATTTATAAAAAGCGCTATATAAATTTTACGATTGAAAAACATGGAGTGTCGTAACTATTAGTCCATAAGTCAACCTTGAATATCTGCGCCGACCGTAAAGTGTTCGATTGAATAATAATTATGTCCGATAATTAACAAATTTCCACTCTCGTTTCTCGAGAAAACATTTAGCAGAATTGATGTTATCGATTAGATGTTAGTCTACTAATTACAGTAAGTACGTTTTAACGCAAATACGCTAGACTAATTTATTCAGATATGTGGTATATTTACATTACAGACTGTAAAGAGATCGTACAATGTGGGTACTTTGAACGAAAATATATGCAAGGGGATTTTTTACGTAAGAAATGGGAAGAGATCGCCACTCTGTAACCGCCATATATGCAAATTTGACGTATTAATTATTCTATCGTAAAAACACGTTCTGCTCGAAACTGTTGCTTCGTAAAAGTCCAATATATGTACATACATTTTCTATCAAATTGCCATCGAGCAACTGATACATTTCTGTTGTTTCCAACTAAAGCTTGTTTTGAACAGACTTCTGGAAATACCCAATTTCTACATCCATGGTTACATCACTTTTCCATAGCAAATAACAGAGAATTCTTTTACAAATGCAATCATCGAACCTTCAATATTTCTACATCTGTTTCGTTTGTTTTGACGATGATTTTATTTGATAAAGAAGCTGTTCCTCGACATTTAGCCAAACTTTGAATTCCACATTACGCGCCATTACGTATGGGCGTGCATACAGTGTCACAATGTTGCGAGCATAAAAGTGGAACGTGAGCGAGATAAAACAGATGCACGCCATAATAGTGAAAACACAAGGACGGGTCGACGGGGTACAAAATAACATTACCCAAGTCCTCTAAGTATTACGTGAACGGCAGCGAGAAAGCGCATTTCTCTAGTGGATCTCGAAGTGGAAAGTGGACACACGAGGACTTTGGAAAGAGTTTCGGCAGCCTCGCCACACATCATTTGTTCCCCGACGACGCTGGAAGCCTGCCATTAACTCACCGCGATCGAAAAAGAATGGTAACAACAATTTAATAACTTACACCGTTGTCGCGACGGCATTCCAACGATAAAGCAACGAGTCGAAACCGAACGCGTCGTTCGATCTTCGATTCGAGCAGCAGCGAGTCAACGAGCCTCGTACAAGGCTCGATAAACTGACAATAATAAAATGTATCGCGATACTTGTTCCAGAGTGTTTCGTTTTCTAGTTGCGTAACGTGTTCGGTATATGAATGAAAATGTACCCGTTTGTGGCTGACTTCTACGTATGGTGCGACTAGCACATACCGCGATTAGGTGCAGTGGCGAAAGCGTGCGTGTACGATTTGGTCATAATAAAGCTGTTATTACCAAGAAACGATTCTAAATTGCTCGTCGCGGAATTTACGGTGCGTTCGTATTTTTTCGCGCGATTATGTGTAAAATGTTGAAGAGATACACTGTGATATCGATTTGACAAAATTTTGTAGCATTGGAACCTACGGACACGCCCATCGTTATGAAGTCTCAAAAATTTGAATATCGAGTACGAAATTATTGTTGATAAATTTTCTGGAACCGATACAATACGAACTGTAGGGATTTTACAAAGGAGATAAGGACGAGGTAGGTTTTGGCTGAAACGCGAACCCTAATTGCTCGAAGCGGTAATGAGAATTGTGAAATTGCCTTACGGTTATCGTTTATGTCGCTTCATCTTCTCCTTCCTAGGTAATTGTAATAATAATGGTAGATGAAAAACGTGTCTAACGAGGTTAAAAATGACGGTTACTCGGGTAGGAAATAACGGTGTGATTATATGATAGAGTAAACGATACTACAATTTACGTCGATAAGTTGTTAGAAAAATCGTAACAATTTGCTCTTTCATATTGTATATTATAATTTTTAGAAGAATACTGTTCAATGATATCGAAAACGTTTTAATAAATTTAATGCTTGGACAATTTGTTCACTGTTCTCTTTCAAATTTATATTCTAGCTGCTAAGAGATCGTATTTATTCAAAACTGCAAAAAATGGTTAAAGAAAATTTATTTTATGCTAAACTGAAATAATTTTTATTTGATAGATTTATCTTATCGTTTAAATATATTACTTTGAAATTGTTTGAAACTTTTCGACCATCAATTCTTCCAAAACGTTCGAACTAATTTTAAGCCAAGCAACGATGAAAATTATTTTATAATCGAAAACTAATTCCTTTGCAGCGTCATGACTAACTACGTTGGAATCTTACTGTTAATGGCTTGCCTCGTCCATTGCGGAGAGTCTGAGTCGTTCTTGGACGCCATGAGGAGTTACGGACCGTCGCCGGAAGTCTTAAATAGAATCGATCCCAATAACAAGAGATACGACTTCATTGTCGTAGGCGCCGGATCGGCTGGCTCCGTGCTAGCCAACCGTCTCTCGGAGAACAAAAAATGGAACGTCCTCCTTCTCGAAGCTGGTGGTCCCGAGACTCTGCTCCATCAGATACCAATCCTCGTGGGTTACTTTCAATTATCGAACTTCAACTGGGGCTACAAAGTGGAGCCTCAACGAAACGCCTGCCTGGGAATGGTGAATCGACAATGCTCTTGGCCGCGAGGCAAGGCTCTAGGTGGCACGAGTACTCTCAATTACATGATCCATACACGCGGTAACAAGCTGGATTACGATATCTGGGCCGCGCTGGGCAACGAGGGCTGGTCTTACAACGACGTATTGCATTATTTCAAGAAGAGCGAAAAATTCGACGTACCAGGTTAGTCAATTATTTTCTGTACATCGATGTTTCATAAAATGAACCCGGACGCGATTCGTAAGTTGAACGCTTCTATCCCTTCCAAGGGGATACCTCGTGAAATTAGTAAAACAATTTGTACAATACGTATTATAAATATACCAACCTCTTAAAACGTAAGAAATTTGATCTTTTTAAAATAAATTACGCTGTAATAGTACTTTCTATTCCTAGATAGTGCTATAAAAATAAATATTCAAAAGCAGTTCTCTTAGATTGTTATAATTAATAATTTAAATGACGGAAATACACAGTATATTTTCGGTAACGAATTTTTTTCTCGAAAGTACGTAGAATTTCGAGGTTGTGTCTATTCACCAAAAATGATTATAATTGACCCCTTCAAACGAAAATAATTTTCCCAGAACGATTTGAAATTTTTTAATTTTGTCGAAAAATTTGTCTACCTTCCTGAATTTTTTTCTCGAAAGTGCATAGGAATTTGGGGGTGTGCCTATTCATCAAAAATAATTGTAATTAACCCTCGCAACCGAAAATAATTTTTTCAAGACGATTTGAAATTTCTTTTTTTTCATGGAATTTAGGCATCTACCGTCGATTTTTCTTAAAAATTTATATTTCATTTTTAATAAATTTGTTTGGCGCCCTATAGAAAAGTTGTCTAATACTTTTTTGTAGATATCAATGAGCTCTATTTCAGAAAAAATTTTCATTAAAATATATTCACTATTGTAGGAGTTATAGCTGTTTGAAAATTGGACCATTTTTATGGGGTTTTTGTCACTTTACGGGGTTAAGGAAGAATTTCTTCAATATTTTTGGAATGTCTACATATTCTGCACCAAAATACGCGTTGTTTGCATTTTGAAACATTAAAATCCTCCAATCCGTTCAGAAGTTATGATGTTTCAAAGTTGCGCATGAAATTTTGGAGTCACATTCTGGCTTGAAATTATATTCTCGGTGAGGAATTTTTTTCTCGAAATTGCGTAGGATTTCGGGGATATGTGTCTTCACCAAAAATGATTGCAATTGACCCCCGCAACCAAAAATAATTTTTTTAGAACGATTTGAAATTTTTTAATTTTGTCGAGAAATTTCACACCTACTCGAATTTTTTTCTCAAAAGAGAATAGGATTTCGGGGGTATGTCTATTCACCAAAAATGATTGTAATTGACCCCCGCAACCAAAAATAATTTTTCCATGAATGATTTGAAATTTTTTAATTTAATTTTTTAATAACTTTTTAACGAAGCCTCAATCAACAAATTGATATTCTTGATTTTTGTCTTATTTTAGCCTCCAGAATTTCCCATTAAAATTTTTCCCAGGATGGCCGAACATCCTATATACAAACTGTAAACGAAATTCATTTTATTTTAAATCTTATGTACAAAAACAAAAATTCAATAAATTATTACGTTTCCACCATTACGAATTATATCGAAAATTCGATGTTGCATACTTGCGATAAAGTTTCTTATAATATTTGTATCTATACTATTCCATGCTTCAATTATAACACGTTTTAATTCTTGTATATTCGTAAATTTTTTATTAATACAAAACATTCGTCCAACTAAAATTTCCCACAAATTTTCGATAGGTTCAGGGGAACGTGCAGGCCAGTTTAAAAGAGGAATATTATTTACTGCAAACCAGTGTAAAATATGGGTTGATCTATGAATCGCTGCATTGTCTTGCATGAAAATTAAATTTTGATCATCCTTTTCTAAGTGTTAAATAATTTTCTAACATGTTTGTGTAATCCAATATTCAAATCTTGATCCATGGAACGTTAACCTCTTCAGGGACGAATTTTTTGTTTTTTTTTTTTGTCTATTATTGACAGTAACTATAATTATAAAAAAAAAAACTAAATGTCCACATATGTGGCCAAGGGCGTGAAGAGGTTAAGGAACGGATGAAAAATATTTCCTTGCTTGATTTTTCCTCAAAAGTGGAAAGCGTCTTGGTTAATATATTTGGTTGGATTGATATATTCATAATACGCACTGTATTAACAACAATGCTTTTTTTTGTCGTATTTCATTTTAAGAATCGTTACTATATTCTACACGACGAACAAAGCTATTCACTGCACTCGACTAGCCACATTCTGCTCAGTTTACTCGATCTATCCAGCTACTTTTGCTCGTGTTAATAAACAGTGTCTCGACGATTATCACTGTAAAAGCTTCTCTATTATATTTAGACACGATTGTGTTCAGGTATCAAGAACTCCTCGTACCACGGCGACGAAGGCTATCTAAACGTTCAGCACGTTCCGTACCACACGGAACTGGCCACAGCTTTTCTGAAAGCTGGTACGCAACTCGGTTATAAGATCGTGGATTACAACGGCGCGGACCAGATCGGATTTTCGTACATCCAAGCGACAATGGACAAAGGGACCAGGTGCAGCGCCTCGAAGGCTTATCTTCGAGTCAACAGACCGAACTTGAACATCGTCACCGGGGCAATGGTCACCAAAGTCCTGATCGACGAGAACAAGCACGCGTTCGGGGTCGAGTACGTGTGGAACAATCGGACCAAGAAGGTCTTCTGCTCCAAGGAGGTTGTTCTATCGGCCGGAACTATAGACTCCGCGAAATTGTTGATGTTGTCTGGAATAGGTCCCAAGGATCACCTGGAGGAGCTGGGAATCGAGGTGGTGCAGGACTCCAAGGTCGGATACAACATGTACGAGCACATCGGTTTTCTCGGATTGACCTTCTTGGTGAACCAACCTGTGTCGTTGCTGCAAATCAGGCTAGCAAGACCAGGCGTGTTTGTGCAGTATATTCTGAATAGGAGCGGCTTGATGTCACTTCCTGGAGGAGCGGAAGCTCTGGCGTTCATCAGAACGAAGTACGCGCCCGACAGCAGACCGGACGTGGAACTTTTGTTCGCGTCTGGATCGCTGCACTCCGACGGAGGCGTGCCGTTGAAGAAGGCACTCAGGATATCCGACGAGCTCTACAACACCGTTTACAAACCGATCGAGAATCAGGACGCGTGGTCGATATGGCCAATCCTGCAAAATCCCAGGAGCATCGGTAAACTCACTCTGAGATCAGCGGATCCGTTCGAGCCGCCCAAGATGGACCCGAATTTCTTCGAGCATCCGGCGGACATCGAGATCATTCTCGAGGGGATCAAGCACGCGATCAACGTCTCGAAGACGGTTCATTTCCAGAAATACGGGACCAGGTTGCACGATATAAAGATTCCTGGTTGCGAAGCTTTCGAATTCGCTAGCGACGACTATTGGCGATGCGCCATCAAGCACATGCCCTCGATGATGAACCACGAAATAGGCACGGTTAAAATGGGACCTAAGAGCGACCCTTACGCTGTCGTGGATCCGCAGCTGATGGTGCATGGTGTGCAGAGACTAAGAGTCGCGGATGCTTCAATCATGCCAACGATGCCCACTGGACACGTGAATGCGGGCATTTATATGATCGGAGAGAAGGCGGCTGATATGATCAAACGATCTTGGAAATAATGATCCTAGTAACGGTAGATTGTAATAACATGGCTCGAAAACCTCGCTTTGTTGCGAATGAGACACCTAGACTATCCTGTTGCCACAAAGAATTGCTCAAGATTGTTCCTTATGGAAAACCTGATACTGGTCACAACATTTGTGGTAATTATCGATCAACTGCCAGACCAAATCCCTCAAATTGTCCGCGAATACGAAGCTTTGTTTTTAGACAATTGGAAACTAGCATAACAATTTCTCACTTATTTTTATAGCCTCATTAAAATTCAAGAGTTCTATCTAGATTTATTTTCTTTAACACCTAATCTCGAGAATTAATTTCTGTAGTTCCTTAGTGAAAAATCATGTCACCCGTGGGCGGCAGTCAATGTGTTAAGACAATTGGAACATAAGTCTGATTGTATATAGATGTTGCTTTTATCATGGGCAACTATTAACATTTTTATTGCCTTTGATGGTAGGAGTTTTGGACGAAGATATTATTTGATTTAAAGAAACGAATGGTAGGATTTTTTCTTTAAATCACCTTGGTCCAAACCTGCATTTTGTTACACAAGGACAAACAAATATAGTAACGAATAGAATCGTAATGTAAATTGTATGACGGTATTGAAAAACTAACTGTATCATCTAGCGTTGTCCAAGATAAATAAACTTCTTTTTTCTACTCATATACTTATATAAAATTATTATGGATAACTGTACCTTTAACCAACTATAATTAACAGCACAAAAAAACTAATTATACAGAGCTAACTACAGGTCGCAGATGTACAAGATATCTTAGAAATTCTGTTACAAAACGGCATCTCAGTCATATTCTTCAAGATTTCACGGTCATCGATATTCCTTTAACTGTACGAATAAAAATTGTTTCGTTATTTACGTTCAAAATATGGAATTTTAAATTTTATCTCGCACAAAAAATTGTATATTACTTTACATTGTTAATATAAAAATATTAAACGTCAATAATCGAAATGTGCAGTTTATTATCTAAATAAAAGGAAATATTAGTCACACGACAAGACAAGATATCATTTATCTGTATGATAAGGGCAAAACTTGAAATGTATAAATATATCATTTCCGTTATTTAGAAGTGTCCCTTTATAAAAATGAAAGTAATATAGTTAAACAAGTCGTTAAACTATTAATTCAGAAAAATGTTTAATTGCGTCACTATTCTTTACAAACAGGCGACATCGATGTTTAGAATTGATCCTTTTAAAAGTCGCGTAATTCAGTACCGCCATGGAGGGCAGTATCTTTGCTTGATTAATTAGATGAGTGATAATAAAATTATTTGCGTGCACGACACGTTGCACAACAAACGAGTGACCCACATCGTTGCTCATTCTAATAAAAGGGAACTTCAAGGGTAGAGGCATGCAGAGAGTTCATCAATGATGACGTAAAACGAGGGATGAGTCATGCCTTTCCTTTCATATACTTCCGCGTAAAACTGAAGAAGAATATGAGCGATCGAAGAACTGCGTCGTTGGTATCTCTACTATTTTCGTAATAGTTGACACATTCGCGTTTCTAATACAACCAAAGAAAAGAAATTTATAAAAAAACAAAAATTAAAAATGTATACATTTGGAACTCCGAAATTCATAAAAAGTTCTATTTATCATTTTTTCTAAAAAATTTGGCTTTAATAGGAGTAAATTAGGCTTTATTCCAACAATTATTAACTTCCTTTAACTAAACTTAATTGAAAACTGTTAAGAAATAAGTTTTTGTATATAATATTGTATACATAGAATATTCACATTTATCACTATGAGTTTATCAAATGTCATGAATAATGGAAAACATGTTGAATATTTATCGGTAATGCATGCATATGCACACATATAAAAAATATAATTTGCATTAATGTGTATGATTGCAAATTGTATATGAACTAAATTAAATTTGTTTTGTCAACACCATTTATCTGATAAACGTATGCAAATTTGAATATACATGACAGAAAATAATACAATTATACACATTGTCTAATCTTTCCTTATCAAAGTATTACATTATCGGTCCTTGTTCTAACATGTACGTATATAGACGGTTAACCCTATGATCTTATTTCCAATTGCCTGAATTAGACTACACGAGTATACATATGTTTATTGATTTCACCTTGAGATTATTTAGCCCAAATTCGTTATTTCTTTAATACCTTTATCAATATGACGGATAAAACTAAAATCTTGGTATATTTTAAAAATAATATGGACAAAATGTTCTTAAAACCATTAAGTATTCTTATGACTAGTTTAATTCCACTAATCTACTTTGAAACATACTAGATTTGTTATTACCAAATTTAATTATAAAACATATACAGATAACCTATCACATTGTTCTTACTTGTTTCCTTTTCCACTGCATGCAAAATAATAAATAAAACAATACTCAGGGCACTGTACTATGTATTTTAATATTTAACTATTTACTCTTTCTCTTTCAATAATAACACTTTTGTTTGCATGATGTATTTCTTATGTTTTTAACATACAAATATAACCTTTTAAATATTACAAAATAATCAGGAATAATGTCTGAGAATCTTGTGATTATTACTCTGAATGAAAAACCTGTTTACACATACATAAGCTGTGAAATGCAAACATATATGAAACTATAATCAAATACATTGAAGTGATACTAACCAAGTAAATATTATTTGAGTTAGAGAAATTTACAAATATAAAAATGAACCCTTCCAAAATGAAAAATGTTTAATTGTTAACGTTAACATTTCGGAGCCGGTAATGTAAGTAAAAGCTACAAAAAAGAATCAAGCGTGGCAGCTCTAGGTTATTATATTGCAGCGCTTGACCAAATTGTCAAAAAACATGTACTTCGTGTTTATTTGCATACCTGATACAACGAGAGCTTCGTTTGGGCCACAGGTGTGAACGTTTCCCATTGTCAGATTAACTCCTGTTAACGTAGATGTAACAACAAACCGGTCAAAGCAAACACCAACACAAGCACGATCACCACTAACACTAATCTGTACAATAAAATGGCAGTGATAAGATACGGATTAGTTCAAAAACCCCGGTAAATCATTAATAACATATAATAACCCGTATCTGTCGCGCGTCGTAAGGTTACGATGTTACTCAAAGCCACTACCCAAAATTATTTGTAGCTTTTGCAAAACCCTAGCTTGCGGCACTACCAACCTACGAGCTTTCGCGTATCGCGACTAGATTGCGACATCTGGGAATTATGCTTCTTTTCTATATTAGAGATTTGTTTTCAAACTTTAATTTCATTGATATTCTATACAGAATATTAATATTCCTATTTTATAAAAATGATTCTATTTAATGACTTTTCGAAATGAACTTCATAATATTATATTAGTAACAATGATATAACATTGCCCTTTAATTTCACCCCTTGCATAAATTTATTATCCGATAGCCGGAAGCTCGTGAAATTTTATACTTTATGTATTTAAAATATTCATTTTATAATTCTTATGCTTTAATATTATATATTTCGATGATGTTTCCTATCAAAATATAAACATCTTTTTATTATTTCATGTATTTAACAAATAAAATGAACCTATTATGAAGTAATATTGCAATACTATGAACTTGCATTTAGTAGACTGAAGTTTGTTAGTATGGTAACACTGTAAACTGAAGTAAACCGCATAATAACATTTCTAACCTTCAATATTTGATAGTCAATCTATTGTTTTGATTTATTTCTACGTGTTGTTTACATCTTATTAAGTTCAATACAATAAATACTATTAGGAATTTATTTCATACACGGTATTAATAAACATTGAAAGGATGTCGGAAGACGAAGTAGAAAGTTTTGAAATTACCGATTACGATCTTGACAATGAATTTAATATCAATCGTCCTAGACGTAAATTAACAAAGAAACAACAAATGCTTGGTAAAAATTTTGCTTTAATCTACTTTATGTTATTAAAAAATTCTAATCCAGTGCTTTACAGTTATTTTTGATAATGATTTTAAACGTTAATCAAACAAGCATTGTTTCAGGCATTTGGGCAGACGATAGCGATGAAGAAGAATTATCTGCTAGACCATCATTTAAAACTTTTGACAAAGGACCTAAAAACTATACAGCCCCTGTAAATTTTGTAGCAGGTGGCATACAACAAGCTGGGAAACCAAAAGATGAGATAGAGGAAAAAGATGATGATGACAGTGATGAAAATACAAGTAAATTGCAAAGAGAATTTCCAAATAGTTCAAGGTAATGCATTTAATGCGAAGAAATTTAATGTAGTATTAATACTATACACATGAATACTTTAATATTTTATCTATTTTATGTTTGTAGCTCCGAAGATGAAAGACCAAGTATGGCACCGTTACGTTCATCTTTTTCATTAAACACAGATGGAGATATTGCTGGTTTACGTAAAAAGAAAAGTAAAGTAAATCCGTTACTAATACAAAGTGGAATGGGCAGTTGGGAGGTTCATACAAAAGGCATTGGAGCTAAGCTGTTATTACAGGTACATATAAATTGTTAAATCTTTTATTCAAACATTACAATTTGTAATTTACATTACAAAAGTATATTTATTAATCTATTAATAATTTAGATGGGTTTTGAACCTGGCAAAGGGTTGGGTAAACAATTACAAGGTATAAGCGCACCAGTAGAAGCCCATTTGAGAAAAGGTAGAGGCGCAATTGGTGCTTATGGCCCAGAAAAAGGCCCAAAATTAGCAGATAAAAAAAAGGAAGACGAAATAGAAGAAGGAAAAGATTCAAAAGCTAAATTATCTCAGTGGCGTAAAGGAGATAGTACTGTGGTTAAGAAGAAAGTAAAATATGTCTACCGAAGCGTCGATCAGGTTTTAGAGGATGGAAAACTAAAACCCAGCAAGAAAGTAAGGTCATCTAACGAAATGAGCAGAGTTAAAGTTATAGATATGACTGGCCCTGAACAAAGAATTTTAAGTGGATACCATGCAATTGCTGGAGGTCAACAACGACCAGATGAAAGTGTCGTAGTTACTGATACAAAATCCAAACTTAATTTTGCACTGCCAGAGCTCCAACATAATTTAAACATACTTGTCGACATGTGCGAGCAAGATATTATACAAAATGACAGGCGAACGCGGCATTTGAATGATAGAGTAGTTGCATTAGAAGCAGAGAAGAAAAATTTGTCAAAAGTTATAGACCAACATGGTCAGCTCATTGACACGTTAGAAAACGTACTCGATATTGTAGACAGATTAATGGATGAAACAAATCAGATGTCGTTACAAGAGACTGCAGAAGCTTTCAAAGATTTACAAGATAAATATTATGAGGAATATAAAATGTATGAACTTGGTGAATTGGCTAGCAGTTTTGTTGGTCCAAAAATAAAGGAATGTTTGACTAGTTGGAATCCAATAATGCAACCGAAACAACCCATTAAATTATTTGAACAATGGAAGAGTATTTTAGAAAGCGGTGCTACGACCCTTCAATCGCGAACTATGCAATCGTACGACCAACTTGTTTGGAATGCGTGGATGCCATCAATTAGAGGAGCCATACAGTATGTATCAAGTTACAATAAGTAATTAAAACCATATATATAAAAACAAAACAATCCTTTATAAAAACCTTTACTTATTACGATTTTAGACAGTGGACGTGTAGACAACCAGAGCCGCTCATCGAATTAATCGAACATTGGATGCCATTGCTTCCAGGTTGGATATTAGAAAATATTCTAGATTTATTAATTCTTCCGAAACTTACTTTGGAAGTCGAAGAATGGAATCCCCTCACTGACACGGTACCGATTCACACGTGGATTCATCCGTGGCTGCCATTATTACGTGAGTATAACATATTTTCAAAAGAAACTTTAAGTTCTTGACTAACAACGAACGACGGCCACTGTTTAAGATTCCATATTGTTTGGATTCGATTTATCGATATTTTTGGTCTCGATCCAAGTCGAACCGCGCGCACATACAATTTGACACTTGAAATTTATCATCCACTAATAATAATAAAATTTTATATTTTTCGTAATATTTTCATGGGAGTATTTATAATGGGGTAGCAAGATTTTTCCGAAAAAATGAATTCTATGTTAATCTTATTCGCGACAATATCGCAAATATTGTGCATCGGATTGTACGTAATTAAAAGTAATCCTAATGGGATCATGTTTGGACTCATTCTCATTGGATACATATATTTTTTGTATAAAAATATAAATATAATATAAAAGTTTAACTTTTTATTAGTGGTTGACGTACGTTTTTGAATATCGGACGTCGACTGCGCGTAAATAAAAGATCATACGCTCTACATAGTTTCTAGAAATGAGATTGGGGGGGGGATAGAAATATACCTGTTTTAAAGTCTAACAGGCAACACCTTTGTATTGCTACAGGTACTCGACTGGATACTTTAATATATCCAATAATACGACGTAAATTAGGTTCTGCATTGGGTGGATGGCATCCATCCGACAGATCTGCTAGACTAATGTTACAACCATGGTCTAATGTCTTTGCAAAAGGAGATATGGAGGCCTTTTTAGTGAAAAATATAATACCAAAATTGCAAATAGCACTTTCGGAATTTGTTATTAATCCACATCAACAACATTTGGATCAGTGGAATTGGGTATATGAATGGAAAGAGTTAATTCCATCTCACATAATGGCAGGATTGCTTGACAAATTTTTCTTCCCCAAATGGCTACAAGTCTTGGCTCTTTGGCTAAACCATTCCCCTAATTACGATCAAGTTACAAATTGGTATATGGGATGGAAAGGCATGCTAAATGAAAAATTACTAGCCGAACCTTTAGTGAAAGGTGAGTGGTCTAATATCAATTTCAATCTGCATTATACGAACTACTTCATAAATCTATGGAATTTATTAATTTACAGAACACTTCAAGAAAGCATTGGATATGATGAATAGAGCAGTTACAGGACCACAGAGTCATCAACCAGGCGCAATGGAACAAGTTTCATATTTAACAAGCTTGGAAAGGACTCAACCTACCATATCACAGATGCCACCGACCGCACAACCAAGAATGGAGGTACAATTTAGACTATTGATCATATTAGGACTTCTTTAATAACATATTTTTTTTTACTTTCATAACATCATATTTGTACTTTACAGAGACTTGCTGAAGCAGTTCGAACGGCATCGCAAATACCACAAGGTTTTAAAGACCTTGTTCAAAAGAAATGCGAAGAAAGAGGTATTCTGTTCATGCCTATACCAAATCGTTATAGAGAAGCTAAACAAGTTTACAAGGTAGGCAATGTCCAAGCTTACATAGATAGAAATGTTTTATTTGTTTGTCATAATGGCATGAATTGGATGCCGACGCATTTAAATGCTTTATTAGACATGTCTGAACTTTAAAAGTAACTATACTCTAATTTAGTATGTAACTAACAATAAATAGTAAATTTAGTTATTTATCTTGTACATATATTGTAAGATACTATGTAAAATGTGACATTGAAAATGTATATTGCACAATGTGCATAGTTTGCAAAAGTCAACTATCATTTTTGTACGATCTATGCCGTATAATAAATTATACCAGCATATTTACATACACGTGGTTCATTGAGTAATCCGAAAATTTTTACCTAACCTCTCATTCCAAATTCTACTTCATCTTCTCTTTTCACGCAAGTAACTAAATTTATAATTACCATAATGCAATAATAACAGGTATACACAGCTATAGAAGATATCGCCGTGGTCGAACAGTTACATACGAGTTTCTTGTTAAAACAATAAAATTAACTTCTATTCGTATCCCATAAATCCTGAGTTCCTTATAAGGAATGTCCGCAAAGCGTCGCCATGCCCCCCACCACTCATTTCTTTTAATGGCGGTAATTCAAATTGAAGGAGCGAAACTACCCTCTAACTCTGTTGCTATCTTCGCAACTATTTGATATACAAGGAAGTCTTTTAAACAAATTCTGTATGCTTTTTGATTAAAAATAACATGATATATGTTTTAGTAGACGAAATTAATAAGAAAGAATAGAAAAAACTGAACTTTACAATTAAAATAAAACTCGTTCTGTGCTTTTAAAAGTGATTTCCTGATTGTTTAGAGAAAAAAGAATTTGTTTAAGGAATGTTTTCGTATGTTCAAGTTTTCAAGATAGTATTTAAATCTTTAGAGGCTATTTACACCTTTTAAACTTGAATTATTACCGTTAAAGAAATATACGTATTTCTCATTTTTAACCACTCTGCAAATCTCTTTAAAGTTTTATCAAAATCGTGATGACGTTTGTTAGGCTCTATATAGCCTTGCTTTGGGCATTATACCTACGACGTGTATCGAGGCGCTCCATCTGAAGTGTTTCTACGTGTTTCGTGCGAGAGGAGAACATCTCTTTTCTTCGATGGTACTCCTGGCATTCACGTTTCACGAATGCAGTCTCGCATTCGCGGATGTTTGTCTTATTGACCACTTCTGTTCGAAGCGGTCGAAGTCGAACGCGTGTAGGCGCCCCTGGTTATCCCACTACCGAGGCGCAGCTATAAACCTCCTCGATATGGAAAGTTGCACGTGATCCTGCAGAGTCGTACGTATGTACCTACAGAGTCGTCCAATAGGCACCGTGTATCAACCACCACGATGTGTGCTGGCTCTGTGTACCAACCATGGGCGCCACCATAGACAAGGCAAATGTGTTTCCAGACTTACCCAATGGGTGCCCCGATTTAACCACCTTACTATACAATTTTTGGGCCATAGGCGCCCCTCGAAGCTCTACAAATAGCGCTTTACAATCGTTCTATAAAATTCTATATCCCATAACGTATTTAAAAATAACTACACACAATTGTATAAACCAATAAGTCTCTGTTGAAAGGAATATAGTTAATAATGAGCTTATGGTTTGGAAGATGAAATAAATTACAAAAATTAAATACAATCGTCAACGAGGCTGATCCAGCAAACCCTGCCTTTTAGACTAAATCAAAATTGGTCAAACTCTAGCTTTTTCGTAATAGAAACGATTTTGGCTTCGAACAAGCGATCACAATAATTTGACCGCCCATTTTAATTGTAAAATTTTGGGAGTACGTAATAGCTCCGATCTAGCAAGAGGCTATTTTTCCATTCCTCCCTTGGACGGATAAGACTCTAGGTGACGCCTATGGCACCACTACCAACGACGCTCTGTCTCGTACGAGTGGAGGACTGGTCCTGTAAGAGGATGGACATCTCTCGCCTACACGCCTAGCAGATCCGTGCTCTCGGGTGTCGAGAAAATTTGCATTGGATCGGAGTGTGTCTGCCTAGTAACTGGCTGCCTTTACTGCAACGGTCGGATTCGAGACGGTCCCTTGCACTCCCTCACTGTGCAAGCAAAAGTATGCGTGCAGTTTGCACACGCGTCGCGGGGCACTTGTCGAACCCGGCCAGATCTTAACGTCTATCGTATTCTGAAAGGAGTTCGGGGCACCCCGCGGGAGGAAATATTGGGCCAACCGCGTCGCATGAAAAATAAAATAACGCGCCACGGAAAAGGACAGAGTCGCGTGTCCGGGGATTCTTGGAAGTACTTGTAATACTTTTAACGACGCGTGCAAACGAGTGACGACCACTGACTGCTACTCGAATCCTTCCTTTGCAAGTTTTCGGTCGGGTCCAGCCGAGTTTGCTCAGTTTCGAATTAAAATTAATTTGAAATGATAACTTGAAAAGAAATTCATTATTCGTAATTCCGTCACTCATGATTGAATTGTGTAGATGATCAAACCATTGTATATGCTGATGATATTTTAATAGTCATATTTGAGGTTAGAATCAGAAGGAAGAATTGGTACCTCCATTTTGCTGTTCGATGGAGATTAGTTTCGAGTCAGTAATTAAGTTTACCAGATTATAGTTTGGAAAGTAAATAATGGATAGGGTTAAGAAAGCATGTGTCCTCGTCGTTAAGTAGGTTTTCGAGAACGCGTACACGTAGCCTGAGAATTAATGCGAATTCAATTTAAAGGAAGTGAAATTACTCGAACAAGTCGAGCGCTTAATGGCGCCGCCATTGAGATTGCGCCATCATATCTCGGTGAATGAAGTCTCCTTGATAACAGGTGAAAGAGCGGACCTGCATCCATCGTGCCTACGTGCGATTCGAGTGCAACGCTTTTATACACCTCAAGAATTGAAATTTCCTGGAACACAGTAATGGCGTTCCACTTACGATAAAGTAATTCCGTTCGGGTCACTGTTACGAGGAGATTTGCATGCAAAAAAACCTGTTATTTTAGTCTCGTATAGTTACCAGCGAAATCTATACGGGATTTCTCTTCGTGAATAACGTATTATACGATTTTTATAGAAACGATTGAAATATCCTACAGTCACTCTACTTCGATATTGGACAGTGTTCCCGAATTTATTTCTTTATACGCGCGTCCACCATTACTTATTGTTTACTGTGTTGAATTGTTCGTTCTAGCTTAAAATATTTTTTTAAGAGACGTGAAATATTACAGTTACAAGTAAATTACGACGACATTGTTGGGAAGTAGTACACGCGTTACAAACATTTCAGAAATATTTACATTTCAATCCTCAATGCGTTTGCGAAAAAGGAATTGCGTTCGACGTTTTACGATCCCTGCGAGTAATGCTTGCTAACAGGTTTATAATTTTTCCCCTTTCAAACACTCCAAACGAAAGTTATGGATTTAATTACCTTGTAAGATAATTCTCGGCTTGATTTAAACGCTTCGTTTGTTTTCTGCTCTAATCGCGCACGTACCAATTACCACCTGTTGTATAATCCCTTGCAAGACTCGCCGGCAATTAAACTACGTCGGCATAAATTTCAATTCTAGGTATAAATTAAATCACAGAAATAGCCGTGCGTACAGAGTGTTACAGAAGAGGGGTCAAACTTACGGGCGTTTGGTATTGTTGGGTAGCGTTTTAATAATCCAGTATTTTATAGCAGCTAACTTGAATTAAATTTTTCAGTACATATAGCGTGTAATAGTTCGTTAGAGAGGTCGATGGCCTGGTATAGGTAGAACATTCATAGACATATGTTTTCAGCAAAACATGATCGCGCCCAAACATTCCAATCCCACACAAATCGCCGTCCCCAAGTCCCTCCACGAAATGCCAAGTACTCAAACGCGAGACAGCCAAACGCAGCAGCATTTTAGCGATCGATATTCGCTGGTTGCGTTCCCGATCCTAAATAGGTAGAAAGTTATTTACAACACCGGAACTGGTACTAGAAAGACGATAGTTTGCGGGAAAATTTATGACGAGAAGAGCGCGATAAAATACAAAATGATTTAAAGGATGTCATATAAATGTTGCGAAAGAAACCCGAGATGGATAAATTTCAGTTTTATAACTTACATGAAAAAGAACGTGTCTTGAATAATCGGACACCGGTTTCCCCGTGTTTTAGAAGTTTCTTGTAAATGATTGGTCGTATTTCCCCTTTTTTATCGACGCGGCTACTCAGTTTGAACACGTTGAGCAACGTCGTTCGTCAATGGATCCTCACACCAAATGATTACTCATTTTCTGCGATCACAAGCACCGAAATAAAAGTTTTTGGATTAACATGAGAATATTTTAATATTATGCTCTGTTCCTCATAGTTTATACCTGTTTATCCTCGTCATTGTTATATTTATAATACAAAACCGAACTGTCATTGTTCTGTCGTATCCTGCGGAGTATCTAAATTAGGCGTATACGAATCGCGGATTTTGGTGGATGATTTGCTCGATTAGGTATTTCAAGGAATTAACAGACGCGCGACTTATCGCGGCAGCGATCGTGGGCGTAGAGGAGAGATTCGAACAGGGAGAGGTTTACACGAGCTTTGCATTCTCGAAAGGCGCAGAAGAATCTTAATGTTGCAATACCATCGCACTGTTTTGGGATAATATCGTGCTTAGCAGCGAGTATCTCCGCTTTCTCTAAAATTTATTACATTGCTACGCCGAGGCGGGGAACAAGATGAAAGAATAACGCGAAATGATACTCAAATGTCAATTCTGCGACCTGTCGAATCGTTTTCCGGAGATAGACGTAAGAGAAACTAAAGATACTGGTTACTTTCTAACAAAATATTCTTTTTTAGTTTCTCTTGTTCCTATCAGAGACTTTTCCACTCACTGCATAAAGTAGAAAAACAATATTTCGTGACAGAAGTAACGAACGTTAATCAGAATCCTCTTCCGTTCGTACGCGTGGTCGATTTCCACAATTTCGATTTATTTTTTACCCATGGAATCATCCTGTTCGCGATTGCAACGCGTTTCTCGTCACAGACGGTAAATCATAAGTCACGAACATTTGTAATCGCACACGAAACGAAGGAGCAAAACTGCATTAATATACGATATTGCTATGTTGTGATGGTAACAGCCGAGCGTACGTTTATGTCCCGTCGCAAGAAGCTTAATGCGAACAACGCATAATGCATATCTGTACAAGATATAGTCGACAGGCTTCCTTTAGCCTCGATCGTTATTTTGCTCCTCTTTCC